ACAGGTGTGACAGGTGTGACAGGTGTGACAGGTGTGGCAGGTGGGACAGGTGTGGACAGGTGTGGCAGGTGTGACAGGTGTGACAGGTGTGACAGGTGTGACAGGTGTGACAGGTGTGGACAGGTGGGACAGGTGGGTCAGGTGTGACAGGTGGGTCAGGTGGGCGGGGTTTCCATGGTGCATTCTCATTGGCTCGTTTCAGTTTGACGGACAGCTGAGTCTGGAGCTCCTGAAGCTGCTGTGGATGTTTCCTGCTTAAGTTTTGTCGAGTTTGTCCAGAACTCAAACTGTATAAACAGAATCACGCTGATCCAGAAGAACGACGAAAACTCTGAGCAACAAAACTTGAGCAGGAAACATCCACAGCAGCTTCAGGAGCTCCAGACTCAGCTGTCCGTCAAACTGAAACGAGCCAATGGGAATGCACCGTGTAAACCCCGCCCACCTGTCACACGTGGGCCAAAACTGAACCAAAAAGTCCAACGAGAAGAATCAGAACCAAAGAAAACGACACCAAACAAAGCTGAGAAACACACAGAACAAAAAATAAAAGATACAAAGATGGAGATTTTACACAATTACACAAATAATTTAATTCTTATATCTTATATACATATATTTTTTGTTTATTAGATTATTTTTTGTTTATTAGATTTTTTTATTTTGTATTTTGATTTATAAATGTTTTGCCTAATGTTTTTAAAAAGTGCCTTTTAACTGTGACTCAAAATGGATTTGCTTGACGTGTGTGTGAGCTGTGGTTATAAACGCCACATGACGACAACAGAACGAAACAGAACACGTCTAAAAAATGTTTCACCAGAATTATGAACTTTCAGAACCTCGTGTCTCGTCTCGTCCCTCACGACAACAACACAACAAACTGATTTGATTTTGTCAAATAAAATGAAGTGAATAATGTGACAGTGTTGTGTGTGTGTGTGTGTGTGTGTGTGTGTCGCCCCCTGCAGGTCTGGAGCAGCTGGTTCTGTGTGGTTGTCTCTGGGCGTCCGTCTCCGCTCTGTGTCTCACCGTGTGTCCCTGTCTGCGTCTGCTGGACCTGAGCCGCGTCGAGGACCTCAAGGACTCGCACCTGAAGGAGCTGCTGGCCCCGCCCCCCGACGCTCGCATAGGTAAGCCCCGCCCCCCTGACGCTCGCATAGGTAAGCCCCGCCCCCGACGCTCGCATAGGTAAGCCCCGACGCTTGCATAGGTAAGCCCCGCCCCCGATGCTCGCATAGGTAAGCGCCCCGACGCTTGCATAGGTAAGCCCCGCCCCCGACGCTCGCATAGGTAAGCCTGACTCTCGCATAGGTAAGCCCGCCCCCGACGCTCGCATAGGTAAGCCCCGACGCTTGCATAGGTAAGCCCGCCCCCCGACGCGCATAGGTAAGCCGCCCCCTGACGCTCACATAGGTAAGCCCCGACCGCTCGCATAGGTAAGCCCGCCGCCCCCGACGCTCGCATAGGTAACGCAACGCCCCCCGACGCTCGCATAGGTAAGCCCCCCGACGCTCGCATAGGTAAGCCCCGCCCCCCGACGCTCGCATAGGTAAGCCCCGCCCCCCCGACGCTCGCATAGGTAAGCCCCGCCCCCCGACGCTCGCATAGGTAAGCCCCGCCCCCGAAATGCACCTGCAGCGGGAGGACAGGCGCACCTGTAACAAACTGGACTGACATTACACAGATGACCTGCAGAGGGCGCATCGTACCTGGAGAACGCACACCACCCTTTAAGAAGCACTAAATCTATTTTTATTAAATTTTCTCTTTTATTCAGAAAAATAATAATAATAAATTGTGACAAAATCTGTGCCTCAGATGTGTTTTCTGTTTCCATGACCTGGTCTCCTCTGATTGGCCGACAGCGCACGGCGACAGCAGAGGTGGGCGGTTCCAGGGCGTGACCGAGCTGCGATTGGCCGGTCTGGAGCTGACGGACTCCGCGTCTCGTTTGCTGCTTCGCTACACGCCGCACCTGCAGAGGCTGGACCTGAGCTACTGCCCCCTGCTGTCCGACCAAAGCATCGTCACCCTCACCTCAGGACTGTCCCCGCTCCGAGACAGGCTCACGCACCTGACGCTGACAGGTGAGACGCGCGCACGCACCTGACATCGACAGGTGGGGGGTGTAAACCTGGTTCAGTTCCTGGGCTCCTGACAGATTCAAATCCACTGAACCTTCACTTCTGTAAAAAATAACTCACAGCTCATCGTGAAAGATCAGCACAGGACCACACCTGTCCCTCACCTGTCCCTCACCTGTCCCCCACCTGTCCCTCACCTGTCCTCATCTGTCCTCACCTGTGTCCCTCACCTGTCCTCACCTGTCCCTCACCTGTCCTCACCTGTCCTCACCTGTCCTCACCTGTCCCTCACCTGTCCTCACCTGTGTCCCTCACCTGTCCTCACCTGTGTCCCTCACCTGTCCCTCACCTGTGTCCCTCACCTGTGTCCCTCACCTGTCCCTCACCTGTGCCTCACCTCACCCCTCACTGTGTCCCTCACCTGTCCTCACCTGTCCCTCACCTGTGTCCTCACCTGTGTCCCTCACCGTCCCCCACCTGTCCCTGTCACCTGTCCCCCACCTGTCCCCCACCTGTCCCTCACCTGTCCCTCACCTGTGTCCCTCACCTGTCCTCACCTGTGTCCTCACCTGTGTCCCTCACCTGTCCCTCACCTGTCCCTCACCTGTCCCTCACCTGTGTCCCTCACCTGTCCCTCACCTGTCCCTCACCTGTCCCTCACCTGTCCTCACCTGTGTCCCTCACCTGTGTCCCTCACCTGTCCTCCACCTGTGTCCCTCACCTGTCCTCACCTGTCCTCACCTGTGTCCCTCACCTGTCCCTCACCTGTCCTCACCTGTCCCTCACCTGTGTCCCTCACCTGTCCTCACCTCACCTGTGTCCCTCACCTGTCCCTCACCTGTCCCTCACCTGTGTCCCTCACCTGTCCTCACCTGTGTCCCTCACCTGTGTCCCTCACCTGTCCTCACCTGTCCCTCACCTGTCCCTCACCTGTGTCCCTCACCTGTCCCTCACCTGTCCCTCACCTGTGTCCCTCACCTGTGTCCCTCACCTGTGTCCCTCACCTGTCCCTCATCTGTCCTCACCTGTGTCCCTCACCTGTCCCTCACCTGTCCCTCACCTGTGTCCCTCACCTGTACCTCACCTGTTCCTCACCTGTCCTCAGCTGTGTCCCTCACCTGTCCTCACCTGTGTTCCTCACCTGTCTTCACCTGTCCTGTCTGTGTCCCTCAGGTTGCGCGCGCCTGTCAGAGCAGTGTGTCCCGCTCCTTCGCCGCTGCTCGTCTCTTCAGACCGTGGACCTTCGCTGTTGTCCTCAGCTCTCCTCAGACTCCGCCCAGCTCCTACATCTCCCATCATCCTCCACGGCGCCCGCCACTTCCTGCCCCCCCTCCTCCGCCACTTCCTGTCCGCCGGACGACAGGACGCTGCTAAAGAACAGCTAAAGACTACACTACTCCCGCCGCCGCTCCACCAGGACTGCGTTTCCCACGATGCAATGCGTCTGACAGTATTTATTCTTATTATTATTGTGAGCGGCCGAGCAGAGGAAACGCCGTGATGTCACTTCCTGTTTACACCTGGTTTATTTAGTGACCTGGTTTCCTGGTTTAAGAGGTTTAGACCGGACCGACCTGGTTTAGTTTATCCTGGTTTAGACCTGGTTTACCTGGTTCAGACCTGGTTTAGACCTGGTTTAGTCCTGGTTTAGTCCTGGTTTAGACCTGGTTTAGTCCTGGTTTAGTCCTGGTTTAGTCCTGGTTTAGTCCTGGTTTAGACCTGGTTTAGAGTCCTGGTTTAGTCCTGGTTTAGACCTGGTTTAGTAGACCTGGTTTTTGGTTTAGACCTGGTTTACCTGGTTTAGTCCTGGTTTACCTGGTTTACCTGGTTTACCTGGTTTAGTCCTGGTTTAGTTCCTGGTTTAGTTTAGTCCTGGTTTAGACCTGGTTTAGTCCTGGTTAGTAGACCTGGTTTAGTCCTGGTTTAGACCTGGTTTAGTCCTGGTTTAGACCTGGTTTAGTCCTGGTCGTGTTGTGGCGGTGTTTCGTGTTTCTGATTTTTTGGTACAAACAGGGAAAAGAGAAACCGAAGAACCCGGCGTCCGAGCGGCCATTTTAGATCCTCCTCCTCGAAATGGCCGCTCCCTCGCCGCGGTGTCTTTATCGTGTACATATCGTTTCCCTCGCCGCGGCGTTTTCACCGTGTACATATCGTTTCCCTCGCCGCGGCGTTTTCACCGTGTACATATCGTTTCCCTCGCCACGGCGTCTTCATCGTGTACATATCGTTCTGTGTAAATATCTGTAGTTTACTGTAAATGACATCATCCTTCTCCAGCCAATCACGACGCGCGCCCAGTCCTCACCATCACCCGCCTCAGCCAATCACGCCGCGCGCCCGCTCTCCAGCAGCCAATCACAGCTCGCCTCACGCTTTTAAAGTATTACCACTTTATTATGGTATTTTATTGGCGCCGCCTCAGAGCGACGTGCGTGTTAAAGCCTCACTGTGGAACATTTGTCACGGAGGGTCCTCACCTGCTCCCCACTAAAGGTCAAAGGTTAAACCTGATTTCAAAACTCCGTCCCAGACTCAAGACCCTGGATCTATTCAAAATAACTGGATACAGTTTTGCTGCTTGTCGCTGCCTCCAGTTGTCGTAGTGACGCTCAGTGGTTCTACAGGCGAAAAAATCCCATGGGCCGAGAAGATTTTTCTCATAGAGGCAACGTGATCACAACCTGCTCGTGTTCGTCTGACAGGGCGATTTTTACCTATTTTTAGATCATAAACTTTTTCTCGCTCAAAATCCTTCAGTTGTCTTAAAAAACGCTTTACATTCGTTAGCTCCTGCTCCGCTCTCGTTCCTCTCGCTCTGATTGGTCAAAGCGATCACGTGATACACGAGCCCGCGCTCCGTGCGTGTGGTCGCGTGCATTCGCGTGTTGCCCGCGGGAGAAAAGACACTACTGCACATGCTCGGTCGCCCACAGCCACCGGAAGAACCTCGCCGGGCTAATCTGGGATCATGAGCCATTGAGCTCAGCACATTGACTTGAATGGGCGGCCATTTTGGAACCTGGGGGCTTGGTCAAGACCCACTCAAGATTCTGAATCGAGATTTGAGCTCATGATCCTGAGTCAAGATTCTAAGTCAAGACTGATTCTGACTCGAGATTCGGACTCGAGATTCGGACTCGAGATTCGGACTCGAGATTCAGACTCAAAATTCTGAGTCGATTCTAAGTCAAGACCGATTCTGACTCAAAATAGATTTTGACTCAAGATTGGGGCTTGAGATTCTGAGTCCGGATTCTGAGTCCGGATTCTGAGTCCGGATTCTGAGTCCGGATTCTGAGTCCGGATTCTGAGTCCGGATTCTGAGTCCGGATTCTGAGTCCAGGTCGATTCTGCGACGGTGACGATGATAAAGTCTTTACTGTGTATAAAACGATGAGACTTTCTTGTGTTTCCCTGACGTCTGAAACTGGAGCAGATGAAGCTCAGATTCACTCAAACAAAATCACTGACAGGTGATTTTGTTTTTTTACAGTATCGACTCAAATCAGACTCTATTTTTAATACGAGTTTTAGTATTTTAATGTCGGATTTTCTGTAGTTTTAACAGCCCTGCTCCTGTCCGTGCCCCTGCCCCTGTCAGTGCCCCTGCCCCTGTCAGTGCCCCTGTCAGTGCCCCTGTCAGTGCTCCTGCTCCTGACTCGTACCTGCACTTTAAGCTCGTGTTGTCGTCTCAGATTTCACATTTAAATTGAAATTCTAATCAAATAGATTGAGATGATCAGACCCCGACCCTCGTGTGAATCCAGCAGACGTGTGTTCTGTCCGAACGCTTCAGTATTTACACACTTCCAGTTAGTTCAGGAAAAACTCCAGATTTGTACTTTTATTTGGTGATGGTGTAAAAGTTCGACTGTTTTCATCAGAACTTTGGTATTAAACAAAACGCCAACAGTATTTTATCCCAACTCTTCCACCAGCTCCAAACAACAACAACAACAACAACAACAACAACAACAACAACAACAACAACAACAACAACAACAACAACAACAACAACAACAACAACAACAACAACAACAACAACAACAACAACAACAACAACAACAACAACAACAACAACAACAACAACAACAACTAAATCTAAATGTGAGGCTCCTGTGTGAGGCGCGTCTGTGGAGCTGGGCGCACCTGTCGCTCCTGTTGCCGTGACAACAGTTTGAAGTACGAAACATTCCACAGAAACCGGGACAAACGTTCATGTTCACGTCCTTTTCTCCACACACACACACACACACAGACACACACACACACACACACACAATACACACACACAATACACACACACACACAATACACACACACACACACACACACACACACAATACACACACACACAATACACACACACATACACACACACACACAATACACACACACACACACACAATACACACACATACACACACAATACACACACACACACAATACACACAATACACACACACACACTATACACACACACACACTATACACACACACACACACTATATACACACACACACACAATACACACACACTATACACACACACACACACACAATACACACACATATACACACACACACACTATACACACACACACACTATACACAGAGACACACACATTATACACAGAGACACACACACACACACACAAGACCGAGCTGCAGCAGAGAAACCAGAGAAACGGCCATAGAAGTGATGTAGGGCCCCCTCTACTGGTCACATCTGAACTCGGTGCAGAAAACGGCTCAAGAAACACACGACTTCACGCGACAAATCCTGAGCCCCAAAACGCGTCGTTCAGCTTTGACACTGAACCACGTCGCCATATTTACTTCATATTTTTTGTCTCCGCCGTGTTTAATCGTCTGAACCGTTTCTTTGCGTTTGGGCAGATCTGAGCTGTGGGGGGGGGACCATACATCACTTCTACGGATCATTCTAGAGACAAACTAAAGGGTTTTTCTGTTGCTGATCTGCTGCACGTCTGGATGTTTTCTTTATTTTAATTTCATTCTACGTTTTGGATCCAAACAGAAAACCTCAAATATCTGAAGTCAGAGATACGAGCCTAAAAAACGAAAAAAGAAAACAACAACTAAATAACGGCGGCTGCTCTGAGGATTTGATTATTTATATTTATTAAACCGTTTTCTTTCCTACATTATTCCATATTTATCTGACTTCATATTTTTGAGGTTTTCTGCGCGGGAAGAAAATGCAGAAAGTTGTAAAAATAAAAAAAATTGTTCAGACTTTTGCCGTGTCCGTTTACAATCGTTTTTGGAGGCGTAATTTTATTTTATTTTTATCGTCTGTATTTTCTTCAGTGATCGATCGTGCTTCATGAAGTGTGACGGTGACAGGTGAGCGGCGGGCGGCGGCGGGCGATGAGTGGCGAGCGGCGAGGGGCGGCGGCGGCGTTCTCGCGTTTCCGTCGTGTTTTTGGCCCAAACTGAGCCTCATTCTTCAGCGTTTGCCTCGTTGATTTCATTTTTTACTCTTTTGTTTCTCAGGACTTTTGTATTTATTTGTGGCCGTGTGAGACATTCCTGTTTTTGTTTTGTTTTTTTACTTCATTTTTACGACACACAAACCTCCTGTTGTGTAACATATTTTGTACATGTTTTGATGCGTTTCTTTGGTTTTAGTTGTGATATTTTTAAATTGTGTGAACTGGCTGCGCACTGAGGGATTCTGGGTAATATTTAAATGTTTGGTAATGTTAGATGTGAGTGATTACCTTTACTGCACTGTCCCTCCCAACGCCGCGGTTAACCCGCCAAACCCCAGCGACCCGCGAACCCCGAGCAACCGAGGGCCCCCAGGCGACCCACGAAACCCAAACGACCCACGAAACCCAAACGACCCACGAAACCCAAACGACCCACGAAACCCAAACGACCCACGAAACCCAAACGACCCACGAAACCCGAGGGCCCCGGGCGACTCACGGCCAAAATTCTCCAAATACAAACGTGTAAAAATTAATATTAAAAAACTAGAATGTTTTTAGAATTAGAATGTTTCTCCCACAATTTTAAACAATTTTGATTAGTTTTAATGAAAAATGTGATGCTCCCTCCTCACGGTCTGCAGCACGAGTCTGTACGAGGCTCCGCCCACACGCTCCCATAGTACGAGTCTGTACGAGGCTCCGCCCACATGTCCCACAGCACGAGTCTGTACGAGGCTCCGCCCACACGTCCCACCCAGTCTGTATGAGGCTCCGCCCACACGCTCCCACAGTACGAGTCTGTACGAGGCTCCGCCCACATGTCCCACAGTACGAGTCTGTACGAGGCTCCGCCCACACGCTCCCACAGTACGAGTCTGTACAAGGCTCCGCCCACATGTCCCACAGTACGAGTCTGTACAAGGCTCCGCCCCCAGGCTCCCACACAACAATCCTCCATAAAAACAAAAACACGACACAAACCTGAACCGAGCGTCTGGACAAACGTGATGTTTGTGCAGGAGTTTCATCAGTGGGACAGTCGCTCTG